TAAAAATCTGCATCTAGCAACTCACTCAAATCTGTCCAACTCGAAAACAAATTTTTTCAAAACTTGATCAGCGAAGTGTCGCGTTACGCGGACAAGCCGCATAACCAGTTCCACTTATTGCACTTGCTGCATATAAACGTTGATTAGGTTCTTGAATTTGACGTGAAGATTGAGCAGGAAAGTTGGTTAAGTCTGTCATTTTATTACAAATAGAACACTTCAGTCCATTTTTGTGAAATAATCCAAAGCTTTTTCCACTATCAATAATCAATTCAAGTCGACCACCAGGGCATATATGAGCTTTATCAATACATTCTTTCAAATGATTCACATCGAAAATTTGACTTGATCGTTCGACAACTTCATGAACTGAAGCACTATAAAAGATCGAATCTTGAATATTATTATTTAAAAAAGTATATCTTACCTTTCAATCGATAATCGTATCTTTTCAAAACTACGTGAAGTAAAATTTCCATTAGAAATTGTTTTTGTGTTGGAGTTGGTTGATGAGTATGTCTCATCAATTGAGTTCATTGGCATTATTTGATCAGAACTTGTTGAAATGGATGATGAGCGAAGAACTCGATCAGACATTCGAATAGGAGAAGATTTATCAAAATATTCATCATCAAAACTTTCATCAGAAGACATTCTTTTTTTTTAATAGCAGTTATCAAACAAATTAACGTTTAATTATAACGGTCTACCTTATTATCTTGTTCTTTGTATTCAATTTATTACTGTATTAATAATAATAATAATCCGATTTTTTTATCAAATTGAAAAATAAATTTATTTCAGTTTTATCATAGATGTGTGAGAATGAACAATTCCAATAATAGAACATAACAGATGTCACTTGTGACTATACTTTTTTTTCTCTATTTTTATCAATGATCAGTTCAGTACGTATTTATGATTATTTGAACAGAATAAATTAAAATTCTATGAGTCCTTTATATTTGTAATAAAATTTTTGAAGTTTCATGATTTTTTAAAGATTTATATGTTCCGAACAATGATCAAAGATTGATCTCTACTATTTTAAAGAAGAAAAATAAAAAAAAATGATCAATAGCAAAGTTGTAGCGCTTGAAATTCTCTATCGAATGGTTAGTAATAAAAAACTTTTTCATAGGAATATAATCCTAAAAACACGACTGAAAGTGGTTGGAACATGAAAAATATGACAAATTTATGCAGTATTTGAACCATAAGTATTACAGAAAGTTTTCGTTATCATTTTGAATTTATGTGCAGTCGATAGAGAATTTTTTTCTCTATCTTTTGATATAAAAATAGTTATATTTTTCTTTTATTTTGTGGTCACAATTTGAGAAACATGAGGCCAACCCCAAGACCCATTTTTGACTAAAACCTAGATTTTCTGATATCTCATAACTCGGTCAAATTTGAACCAAAAGATGTAAAACTTTCAGAGTATATGTAAAAAACGTTGCTCTATTTAATGAGCCTATTAAAAGAGCATTTGGCTCGCCCCGACCCCCCCCTTAAGCTTTAATTTTGTTTCCAAAATCATTCCCTGATATTCCTCATCCACGAAGTTATGGAACTGGAATAAATTATTCACTTTTATTTACTATTTACGTTTAAAACGCAATAAAATAAACACTTTATTTACGTCGCATTATTTTGTTAGTGAGTATTATCAAGGAGGTTGATATTGGAAGCAAAATTATGGCATAAGTCAGGTCCCACAACTTGGCGACAAAATATCTGATCGAATGTGTCTAACTGCCATGAAAATCATTGGACTCAGAATAAGTATGTAAAAAAATAAATGTGCCACTTTTATTTTGAGTGCTTTAAACGTGTCACAGGCCCGAATCAGAAGCAAATTTATTTATGACATACAGAAACCGATTGTCAACAAAATGCGACCAGTAGGCTAGAATTTATTTTCTTATGTTATAGTGCGTCAAAGATCAGGATATTTCTATGTCTCAATGATCATAGGATTCAGTAACAAAGAAAAAGATAAAAACAGCAGAGAAAAGAGTCGTCGTTCTTTTTTTTTCGTTGTATGTTTTTTTTGATGAAGTCAATTCTTTCAGTCGTCTATTATAACGTTCATGTCTTTCTTGACCCTTTGCTACTTATTACATTCAAAATTCCCTGTTTTTTTTTTACATCGTTCGAATGTTCCAGCTGTCGAAATCCACGATTCCATTTATTTTCTGTATCTCCTGGAAGTTCTATAGAATTTCGATAGATTCTATCTAATTTCGAGCAGGTCAAAATGACCTAGGTTTTTTTGTTTAGTATTTAATTACATCTCAGAATTTTAAAAAAATTATAAATAAAACAAAAAATAATTCTGCCCGTCATTTATTAGCTTTTCCCCACGTTCAAATTGATTAGAAATAAATAAAACTCCAGAGATAAATACTGAGATAGAAAAATGCATACATTACAACAGTAATAGGAGAAGATGAATAGTTAAATTTGATGTGGTGATGGATTTTTCTCTCTTTTCTTTGCTTTTGCGTTCATTCTTTCTACAATGCGCATAGTTTTCTATCTTTCTAAGTGTACAAATAGTTTTGATTGATTCAGGCAACCAACGAAGAATCTCCATTGATTTTCTTCTTATCTTAATTGCAAGCCAGTCTTTTTGTCCTTATCACAACCTATAGAGGATATTTCGAGATCTTTGACTTTATCATAGGTCATGACCAGTTCGAAAAGAATATTAATATGAAATAAAAAGGGTTCCATTGTATTTTATATTTCAATCCTGTAAACATGGTACGAAAGATTTCTCTTTAGTGAATACATTGGACAGATTAAGAAAAACTTTGACAACAATCACATTTTTCCTAATCTTGAATAAATACTAACTAACAAAATTGTGAAATTTTTCACAAAAAAAAGGAAGGAGAAAAGTACGATCATCACTATCAGTATATATTGTCCAATAGCTGTTATTTGACAATAAGTGGTTAAGCAAAATTAATAAAGCTTCTAATCGAGATTTTGAACTATATCTGATTATTTTATTCCGTTGAACGTTTTGTGGATAGACTCAGATGAATCATAATCATATATGGTCAAAGTAATGATGTATAGTTGAACTTCAATGGAAATGAACATCTCATCGTCAAATAAGACTTTTATTTTATGAACTTAATCTTAGAAATAAACTCTTTAATTTTCACTAGATGGTACATCCGTATGCAGAAACTCGGGTATGCTCAGTAGCTGTTTTTGATAATTAAGGGTCGAAAATTGACTACAGCGTCATAGTCACATAAGATCATATTTTAGAAACATGAATGTGGGTATTTCATTTGAGTTCAATTGTATTCTATTTGAGTGTAACAATCAACACAAGAGTTTTTGTTAGATCGTTTAGCTTGAGATTGATTGTGCACTACTATTCTAAAGCACTTAACTTTGATATTCTTGAAGTGTTTCGATTTAATTTGAAGCTCGAAGACAAGATTTTCACCTATTTTCATCGATAAAGTCATGAATCATAATTAAAATTTCAGAAATTTAGCGCATATCCAAAATAGCAACTATTTCTCTAGAAAGAACGGAAGATTTTTACTAGAAAATTCAAACATTATTGAAAAAAATGTAAATCTCTCTGGATCGAAACAACAAACGCGAGTTGCGCTTAGCAAATATAAAAGTAGAAAAAAAATCAAGAAAGTCTTTACTAAAACTGATACAGTCTATCGATAATTATCATAATCGCTAAGAAGTGATGATAAGTTTTGTTTAATATAATGATTAAGAACAGTATTTTAAGATGATAAGACTGCATTACTTAAGTACTTCATGTAGGCAGAGCGCAATCAATTATTTGTAGGCACATTTTTGCACTATTCCCCATTGAAAGAAAAATCGATAGCATGTAATCAACTAATCATCGAAAAGTTATCATTTTTCATTTCTTATGAATTTCTTTTAATCGTTTATTCTTGAGGCTTTTAATCAAGTTTGTTTTGTTTTTCTCAGACTCTATACTTCGACAAATATTCTCTCCGTTTCTTATTATTTCAATCAAACCTATATTGTTTATCTTTACAAAATTTCTTCTTCTTTCTTTCTATTGCACACCGGACTGCTGTGATTAGTATTGAATTGTATTCACTGTTGTTCCATTTTCCATTGTGTATGCTCATCTGCAACTATCATACGTAATAAAAAAATCTATTGAAATGATATTTTGTTCAAGATTAAACCATGTATATCACAACATACTTTATTCTCATCTTGGCTCTGGTGACAATGTTGGTTCAATGTCCAGGTGGTGGTGGAGGTGGAGGCGGAGGTGGTGGTGGTGGAGGAGGTGGTGGAAGGGGTGGTAAGTTACAAGTAGAGCGAGTAGTTGAAATAATGACAGAGAAAAGTAGCCAATTTTGATTGACATAGCACGCGCTGCTATTTGAATCTCATATGAAAATAGTTTTCGATCGAAATTCGGTTTTTATAACATTGAAAAGCAATTCCTGAATGATAATACGTATGACAAAATAGTTTGATTTGAGATTCGAATAGCAGCGCAGCAAATCAATCTAGATCTGTCACTGTTTACCAGCTGTTATCAATGGCACTCACTCTCAATACTTCAATGTTGCATTTTATTTAAAAACTCATATTGTATTCTATTGATTTTTCATGTTCAGGTGGTCGTCGAGAACCATGTCGTAGTCGAGCTTGTGAAGTTGTCGAGTCTATTTTTTCGATCATTATTGCAGTATGCTTCTTCTGTGCACTACTGAATTGCATTGTCGGTTGCTGTTGTCAACTCAGAGCAGGCAGACCATCAAGAGCGAATGCAGATTTTATCCATCAAAGTTCTTCAGAAAACCACAATCTGGAAAGAGATCCTTTCGAAACAGGTGTCTGGTCTTTTCGATATTATCAATATGGCAACTGGCATGGATCTTATCGATTACCACTCACATT